CCCCAAAACCCCAAAACCCCAAAACCCCGAGTACCACTATTCTTTATATAATTAGTATTTATAATGTTTTAAATGCTTTTATTAATTGGAAGCTTCAAATTGTGTCATAATTGTCATTGATGTATTTGTTAACCTTTTTAGACCATTCCAGAAATCCTTTTGGTAAAAACATTGAAATGAGAGCTGGTGTGATCTTAATCTTCAAGTCTGTTTGCATCAGCATGCTATATACAATTTTATCGTCCTCAGCCCTTCTGTAGAGTTTTCCTAAACCAACAATTGTTCTTGCTCTGTCTACTTTAGCAGGACTTGGCTTTAACTCAGTATCCTTTGGTATTGCGGAATAATAGATATAAATCTCATTATTGTGGAGGAACTTTATCTGCTTATCATAGAAATCTTTATTAGCTCCAATAGGTGATTTATTAAGTTGATAGTTCAAAACTATCTGGGGAACACTCTCGTTGGGGTTAGTCAAATCAAACTTTAGAACCTCCTTATCCCATTTCATTCTATGTTCTGGAGTAAATATCTAAGTTACTATTTAAACTATTCAAATGGTCTTACAGCCAGCATAACTTTATTCATTTTATAGAATGAGTTGAATGCAGTCTCTGTCCTTACATACGGTAAGTTTTTATCTAAATGACTTCCACCCTTCTTAAGATAAACTAGCACATTTTCCTTATCAAGCTTCTTCTCCCAAGCCTTCTTTTGATCTTCAGCTTACTCTTTTTAAAGCATAGTATTGATGTACTCAACCAAGCCCTTCTTCGTCTATATTAATCAGATATACCTCTTCATTATATCTTACAAAGACGACGTCAGATTCAAATTCGTTCCTAAGCTCTGAAAGCTCTGTGAATTCATGATCATCATCTAGATCAATTAGGAAATGCTTTAATTCATCATCTATCAAAGACTTTGCAAGGTCAATATCTAACTTTTAAGAGTTTCTTTCGTTTTTAAAGCTTTCTCTACTCTCCTATTAAACTTGAGTAAGCAATGCAATTAAAAAATTTGTTCATTACATTTTCCTTCTTGAATTCAGCTACTACCTCCCCATCTTAGTTTAAATTTTAACTGTCTGAGTGGATGTCAACCTTTAATCTGACTCTCATATTTTGCCCATGTCTCTCTTCTTAAGCGGGATTTATTAGAATCTAGTCTCTTGAATCACAGCACAAAATGTTTCCCATTTATATTTTTATAGTAATTTATTAATAGTAGTCAATGAATGCTATAATTTTTTCAAGTGGGGTTTTGGGGTTTTGGGGTTTTGGGG